ACAAATGGCAGCCCAATCTCTTCTTGAAAGTCTCCAGGGATGAAGCTCCCACAATTTCAAAAGGCAACTTCTGTTCCATTGGTTGATTGTTCTCCCTGTCAGAAAATTCCTTCTTATTTCCAGGTTGAATCTCTCCTTGTTCAGTTTCCATCCATTATTCCTTGTCTGGCCTTCGGGTGCTTGAGAAAATATCTTTTGTGCGTGCTTTTCTTACAGCAATATATACAGATTATACATATAAGACACACCGTGAAACTAGTATTCCTATCATTTAGAGCAGCCTCTCTCAAATCTGGCGACGTGAAGATGCGTGGACTTCAACTCCCAGAATTCCTCACCAAGCAAGGCTGGCTGGGGAATTCTGGGAGTTGAAGTCCCCGTGTTTTTCACAGGGCCCAATTCGAGCAATGTTCGTTTAAAAGGCACCTTTACATAAGCTTGACAAAAGTATTCAACTTGCATTCTTCCTCCTTTTCCTTATCTAAGCAGCTCTATTGCAAACGGCACTCAACCCATTCCTGGCTAGAAGCCTTAACTCTGGAAAGGCGGCTCCAGATTTGATCAGCAATGGCCATTTTTAACCCTTGGTGCTTGAAGTTAAGTATCAACAAAGTGCTGTTTGTTGAAGCTTAACACAAACCCTTCCTTCCTTGTGGCTCCAGCTGGGATGTGTGTTGTGGTTTGCCGGCAGCCTGTGCAGACAGCAGCAGAATCGGACAGTGGGGAAGGACGGGGACCCGTCCAGGAGTCTGGAGAGGACTTGGATGAGGGTCCTGCATCTGATGCAGAGATGGGGCCAGGACCATCTGGGAGTGGGGTGCTGCCTCTGGAGCCTTTGGAGTCTGGCAGCAGCAAGGCAGAGGACGCAGGGGAGCCTGTTCCCAGTGTGTGTGTATGCACAGAGCTGCTAGAAGGCGAGAGCAGCTGAAACAAAAAGGGTGACTCGGGAGTAAGGCTGGGAGGTGATTGCCCTTCCCATCAGGTATAAAGGACAGGCCAAGATGAGGAAACCTTTGCAGGAAGCAAAGTCATTCATTTGGTTCAGATTCATTCTTGAAGCTTTTTTGTACTTCGGTTGGTTTTCTTTCTAGTTCATTTGACACTTCTGTTATTGGAAGCACTACACAGGAAAGAAAGGTGGGTGCTTATCTCGAGGGACTGTTTGAGATTCATTACCGGTTGGGAATGAAGGTAATTCCCAGCGTTGCAATAGGATAAGACTTGTTTGTAAAATAAACGTGTACATAATTACGGTCTTGGAAGCCTTGGTCAGAACAATGTAGTGTGAAGCTAAGGTCACCTCCATGTCCTTCTAGAACAGCTTCAATGTTAGTTAGTCCTTGATTTATCATAGTTCATTTAGTGACTGTTCAAAGTTACAACGGCACGGAAAAAAGTGACTTATGATTGTTTTTTCACACTTACAACCTTTGCATCACATGATCAAACCTGTCACACTTACAACCAATGTGATCAACATTGGCAACACTTGGCAACTAGCTCATATTTATGACGATTGCATTATCCCGGGCGCACACAATCCCCTTTTGCAACTTCCAGACATGCAAAGTCAATGGGGAAGCCAGATTCACTTAACAACTGTACTTACTAACTTAACAACTGTAGTGATTTGACTTAACAACTGCAGCAAAGAGGTCGTAAAAAGAGGCAAAATCCACTAAACAAAGATCTCGCTTAGCAAGATAAATTTTAGGGTCAATTCTGGTCGTTAAGTCGAGGACTACCTGTGTATATTTCCATACCATCATCCTTGCCTGCTGAGCGAGTTGGGGCAGTGGCCCAGAGCTGGCACTCTCACCTCACTATCAGGAGGCTGTGCGTTCGATCCCAGGTAGAGGCAGGTATTTCTCTCTCTGGGCACGATGAGAATATATCTGATGAAAATAACTCCGCACTGGCAACAGGAAGAGCATCTGGCCAGTAAACACTCAGCTAGTTCCATTCGGTTGCCAAGACTCCACCCTGCAAGGGAAGATGGGGGTCATTAAATGAAGATGATGATGATGATCCTTGCCCGCTGAGCGTATTTATTTAGGGCTCAGCTGTGGTACAGGAGGAGCACACCTACACCTGTGTGAAGCACCCTTTTCTGCTCCGGATCCAACACATCTCTCCCTGCAGGAATTTGTGCCTCCTCCCATTTCCCAGGCCTTCCTCCCTCCTTTGCAGAAGTTAAACCATGTTAAGAGTCATACTGAACTTTCTCAGATTATTTTTTTTTTCTTTTTAATAAACTGAAGGGCAATTTGGTGGAAACCACAGACCATGAACGGGGAGGAACAAAGCACAAGCCAGGTGCAATTTTGCATTGTGTTTTATTTGACACTTTTAAGTCCAGTTGCACAATATCTATTGGACTCAACACTGATTTATTTAATAATTACGTTTATTGACGTGGAGCATCTTCTGCATACTGAGAACGGGGACAGAATGCATGACCCAAAAATGTCTTTAAAATCTCAGAATGGAAATAGTAAGGAATGAGACCAAACCAGTATGGCGGAAAAGGATTCCTGATTGCTGTTTTGATAAACGTAGCACATGTATACATGATTGATGTCAAGATCCTCTACTTCAGAGTTTGTCAACACTGCAAACCTTTAACAGATATTAACAGTTTTGTGATTATGATCACAGATTTCAACTCCCAGAATTCCCCAGCAGCCATGCTAGAATTCTGGGAGCTGAATAACATATTTGCTGGCTGGGGAATTCTGGGAGTTGAAGTGCAAACCTCTTTTAAAGTCGTCAAGGTTGGGAAAGACTGTTCTATCCGATGGAAGTTTGGACCTCTGTCTAGAATTCAGAGAAAACAAAACACACATGGATAACGATGATTTTCAAATATCTCAGATTTTATCACAGGAAAAAGGGGAAAATAGAAGCACCATAAAACCATTGCAAATGTGAACGAACAAGGACCGATTTCAGGGGACTTAAAATCCACCCGTCTTAAAATTGCTAAGTTCTAGAAAGCATGTTTTAGCCACACCCCCAATTTGCTTCGTTCCTGTTTCAATCAATCAGACTAGAGCTGGAAGGGACCTTGGAGGTCTTCTAGTCTAACCCCCTGCTCAAGCAGGAGACCTTTTACCATTCTGGACAAATGGTTATCCAGTCTCTTCTTTAAAAACCTCCAGTAATGGAAGCATCCACAACTTCCGGACGCAAGCTGTTCCCCTGGGGTTCATTGTTCCCACCGCTTGGAAATTTCTCCTTAATTCCAGATTGCTTCTCTCCTGGATCAGTTCCCATCCTTTCTTTCTTTGTCCTGCCTTCTGGTGCTTTGGAAAATCAATTGACTCCCTCTTCTTTGTGGCCTTCCCTAGTTTATTTGTTTGTTTCCTATCTATCTATCTATCATCCACATCTATCTATCTATCTATCTATCTATCTATCTATCTATCATATCTATCTATCTATCTATCTATCATCCACTTCCATCTATCTATCTATCATCTCTATCTATCTATCTATCCATCCATCCATCCGTCATCCATCTCTACCTACCTATCATCCACCCCCATCTATCTATCCATCCATCATCTACGTACCTATCTATCATCCACATCTATCTATCTATCTATCTATCTATCTATCTATCT